ACCACTTGCTCATTATATGTATACCACTTCTAGTTGAAGAGGTTTCAGTGCTGTTCACTACACTAAACATCTAATTATCACTTCAAGCATTCGTTTCTGCGCTCGAACCTCTTGGTGAAACCGGGCCCGGCCCGTTTTGGGGCCGTTTCAGTTCGCCGCCCAAACCGGTCACCGCGGTCACCGCGTGGGAGGCTTGGGATCCGAACCTTTCAGGGGGCGCTGCACGGCGCACGCCACGCCACGGCTGGGAGGTCTGACTATTTTGACCTACACACCACACCATCACACCCATATACAGATACCATGGGATGATGCATATTCTTTTAGTGCCCGGCTGTCATGTCTGACGATTCCGGCTCCTATCTACCAGCGACAGGGAGCAGATCAAATTCACGGGTTCAAACATGAAAAACTGTGAGATTCTTGCTTATTATGGGTGTCATGTGTGTTTTGCTCAACCAGGATGTGAAGTAAATCGACCAGCAGGGATTGTTTGGATCCTTAAACTTGTAGAGCGCCATTGTTTGCGGGCGCCGGTCCGCTAGACCTCCTTGCCGCTGTTTGCCAGGCCACCCGAATACCCATGCAGTTGGCACAAAGTTTTCGATGGTATTGGCCAGAGACTTATCACCGTTATCAGTTATCACCCTACGGACATGTGGTGAAACGCAATTGGCACAGAACGATCCTATATTGACAGAAACTGTGGTTGTTCTTTAAGTATGCTTGAATATGCTTGATATACAGCTTGGAGCAAATTTATTTGTTCAAGGTTAACAACGATCCAGGACACGTATTGCAGGTATTGGAACTTGCTTTGATGTGTAAGGTTCTATACAGTCGATTGAGTCTCTGGAAAATCAAGCAGAACTCTCCACTGCAAACACGACTCAAAATATTCCTTGCACGTCACTCCTAGTCATTGATTGTTTTTGTTTCAATGTTTGACACGGAAGGTGTAACTTGATATAGCAGATCTATTTTTACAGGTATTGGGTTTCTCCATCCATGGTAGTTCACCACCAACCCTTGGACTTGCTGCCAACTTACCCAAGATCCACCAACCCAAACCTATGGAGACCAACCCAGCGGATCCCAGTACCCAGGGTTTCTGGGCTTAGATGGTCGACTGGTTTTTCCCAAAGGTTCAAACTCGTGGGAACTGAGCATGTGCTGTGCACATTTCGACACACGGCGCAAACGCATGTACCACAAGTGTGTGTGTGTGTGTCAGCACCTGTATCCCAGGTTTTTGCATAACCTAATTCACTTTGAGTGGACCGTCCATCACATGCAGGGGGACACGGCACCCGATTGCAGACCATGTCTAACAAAGCTATGCAATCTGGTGGGATATCCAGCTTGGCCAGCTGGACGTACCTGCAAGCTTTTGTACCCTTTCTAAAGTGCTAATGAGCTTCCATCGTTTCACCCATGTTCAAACATTCAGTTCTTCTGACCCAGCACCTCTTGCGGTTGAATCAAGTCAAGGGCTAATGCGTATAAAGTGGAACTTCATTCACTGACTCAGCTCTTGCGAGCACCAAGCTAAGTGTGTGTGTGTGGCGCAAACCGCATGCGCCGCAAACACGACACATGACCCACCCGTGGGTCCCAATTGTGCCGGACCGCAGAGCACCGTAACTGCTTTGAGGTTCCATTTGGCTGGCCAAGCGGGCTTCATTGTCGTGGCCTCGTGGTGAGACTTCACTGTTCGCACCACCAGGAGCAATTCCAAAGGCTTTTTTTTGGGTTTACGGTTTACATGTTTACGTGGATTTTGGAGTGTATGTTGCCGTCAGGCTAGTAGGCCAGGCTGGAACTGTTTCGTGAAGATTTGCGGCTCAAGCTTAGCCCAACCCCCCAGTGCCTGCGGTCGATCTATCATCAAGGTTCAAATGGATGCAGAGGAGGTCACTCGATGGCTTACTCTGAAGCAAAACACACCCGCGGGTTCTGCAGAGGTGCACGAGAATCACTTGAGATTTCTTTTGCAGGAAGTGAGCATCAATCCGGAGAGTTTTCAGAAATTTGTGGAGCTACTTCGGAAAGAGAAGGAACGTGTGGTGCCCACCTTTCTCCCGGAGGGAAGCAAGATTGACTTTTCCAAGGGCGACACTAGTTATGAAGTTCGCGCTTCTTCCAGATGTGTTCTCACGAAAAGCACCGAGACTGGTCGACGTGCTGGATTCCTTGTGAGCCTTTGATCGTTGAGTGTGAGACTTGTGACGACGTGTAGTGCCATTGAGAAGTTTGTCTCTGGCAATCCAGGCATCTCTAGACAAAAGCCTAGGGAAGACTACCCCAATTATTTAGACATGAAGACATTCGGCAGTTGAGGCAGCACATCCTCGTTAATGCTCCATCGTCCTGATGGCACAGGCATATGAGCATGCACTCATATCGCCTCAGATTCTCCACTCCCAGGGCATCCGGTCCCTGGTGCGAGCATCACAACATATTCAGACTGACCTCCGGAGGCTGGGAGGACAAAACAAGCGGGTCCGCATGGGAGTCTCCCCGCGCTGGCGCGGGCACGGGGCGAGCGAGAACACCGCGCCGTGACGGACGTCGCGCCGTGACGGGGCGACCGGACGCCAAGGGACAGCGGACCAGACGCCAAGGGACTGGAATCGTTAGATCCATAGCATGCCATAGCTGCCGGAATTGGCCGTGAACCTCATTTCTGTCACGTTCATGGGATTTTCATGTCACAATTTCGGTCCAGATGCATCTCCGACATGGGCACGTCACGCCGCGGGAATGTGCGCGTCGTGCGCGTCCCGTCCGTCGTGCGCCCAGATCCGGGAGATCTTCGTGATTGAGACCTTGGATGGCTGGTATTGGGAGGCGACAACATCAAGAGACGTGGCACGTTCTTTCGGAGACGTGCCGCGGTTTGATTGGAGACAACATCGATGTTTGCAATACCTGGATCATCCTTTGGGCAGAAAAAAGGTGCCGGACCTCAATCCAAAGTGCCGGACTGAAGATCTAGGTATGTTTGCCAAAGAAAAGACAGGAAACTTAAAACCCAAGTCCTCAAACGAGCTAACATATGGAAAGTGACCTGCCATTCTCAGTGAACGAATCTTTTGACTTGCACCAATTTATATGTTTGTTTACCGGAGGGCAATGGGTATATTGAGTTGAAGGGTCTTTAAGTTTATGCATCGCGCATTGGATGGTTGACTTCTTCAAGGGTCCCAAGTCAGTGTTTACTGGCTTTGGCATGCTTTGGCTTCACGAACATCTAGCATCCTTTCATTTTGGCCAGGTTTCAGGGGAGGATCGGAGGACGCTCCGAAAATGCTGGTGTGCCATGTTCCCCACATTGCCATGACAGGTGTGTGCAGCGAACATCGCCATGTGGATGGTGGTCCTTCTCACGGCCAGCATGCTCAGACGGTTGACAGTACCCAGACGAATGGGATCGAATGGGACTGGAAGCGTTACTTCCATGGATGGGTCGTTTTCATGGGGTAAATGCAAAGTGAGCTATTCCAGTCCCATTCGTCTGGTCTTTTCGGTGTGAAGAACCCCAAATCCGGCGACCGCGAGCTGCCGCCCATCGGTGGACGCCCATCGGTGGCGCTGCTTTCGGAGGGAAGTGCAGGTGACCCGGACACTCCGGCGACTCGGAAACGATGGTGTTCTCTTTCTTGAGTGACTGGATGAATCATGATGAATCCAGAAAACTGTATTCTAGAGTTTACAGTAGGTTTTGGGTTGGTGGCCGGTGATTGGGTTGGGTGTTTGTTTTTGCCCAAGGGGGCTTCTTCGGGTTTCGAAGCTTTCGGCTTCTCCGGTGCGGCTTGAGGCTGAAGAGGCTCCAGGTGGAAGTTATATATACTATTTCCCATGCAAAATGGGTGATATGCTCCACTCTGGGGGAGCTAGGGCAGGGCTATACCCCATTGGCTTGCCTTACAAAGTTGTGAGCATTGCCGCGTGATTGGCCATGATTTCATGTTGACCTGGACAATTGCTTATTTGCATGCCCTCGGCCCTCGGTGATTCCACTTGCCAGAGGCACGATGCACAAATATAACACGCCGTACAGGAGTATCATGTTCAGTAAAGTTCAGTATAGGCCTTTGATTTGGAGGTCATCGTAACCCCCAAGCATTTGGTTGCCATTTGCCATGCGTGGGCCATGCGTGCGTGGGGCGTTAGTTCACTTGGAGCCGCCCAGCAAAGACCATCCATCAGTTGACCATGGGCATCCATCGGTCCATCATCCCCGTGGGGGGGGCGTTGTGGGGTCGAAAGCAGCGTTCGCAGGAGGAACGCTGCTGGGTGTGTCCTGGGATCTGCTCCAATCAACATGCCAGATTCTTTGAACTTAGTCTTCGCAGCCTCACGTGTTCACACACTTCTTTGTGTTTCAGCGCCGCCGTCCTTCCATCACCCCCGTCCAGTCATGGCCCCAAGAAACACCTTGGCTCGCGCGCGCCCGCGCCCGGGCGAGTCGACTCGAGGCACGACAGATCTGGCAGTTCTCCAAGGTCCGGGAGAGGTCTCCTAAGGCGGTGGACCAGGCAGGACGAATGGGAGGTCCAGATCAACGAGCCGTTGGGGGGGTGTCGAAGAGCCTCGATTTTCGAGGGTTGAGGGAGGGTTGAGGATGGTTGAGGGATGCTAGGTGCTCATTCAAGACCCCTGCGGGGGTGCTTTACGTATATACAGACCACCAAACTTGGAGATGGTGCCTCTGAAATCGAAGCTGGTGGTTGTGTGTCGCTTTTTGGACGACAATGCGTGGTGGAGTGAGCGGAGAAGGCGCGGTAAAGCTTTTGGTGCGTTTTAGTTAATTTTTTAAAGTGTATACTAACTTTTGGAATGTTATATAACTATAGTTTCAACTTGGTTCAACACAGGGTTACAGTTGCATTGATGATCATTGATGTGTTGTCCCCTGCGTAAAGCCCCCACCTGTCTTGCCCCCATTCTCTTCAACGTTCTCTTGCCCATCCAGATTCTTGACATGCTGCTCTTGCCGATCAACTACGGATTCCTTTGTGCACTTTGCGTCAGGTGCTCAGTAACACTCTGAACCCGCTGCAAGACTGAAGCACGCCGGGGATCAATCGTTCAAAAATGTTCAAAATATGATAGAGGTTTGCACTAAAAGAAGAGTGTGATCTAAGCAAGTTTTCAATCGATTTCAATCGTATGTGCTACTATAGTGGTTATTAGTAGAACTTCCACACATGTCATGCTTATACTGAATGGGTCAATCATATCTTGCTTCACCCCGTCCGTTCGTCAAACGGTTTCAGTCTCCAAGGGTTCAGCACCCCACCGTCAGACTGTCGCATCGTCGCATCTCAGTTCCTTCCCCAGACCATGCATGGGACTGGAACAGGTGCCATACATGATAACCCAGTTTCACATGACCCACCCATCTAATCAGAACTCTTCAATCCTCCCATCCGTTTCGTCCTGGGTCGTGGAACGAAACCGATCGTGAAACGTTTCGCTTCGCTCAGAGCTCCACGATTTGACGATCAAAGCTGAGCGCCCCAAGACGCCACCCGTGGCCGGACCAACTGCACCGACATGAGCCGACATCATAGGGACATGTGTATTAGGAGGATCATATAAGAGGATCATGATAGATCCATACACACCCAATCACACCCATATAGATCCATATAGGGGGATCATGACGATCATGTCGTGCCTATAGGAGCTATATAGTTAAGGGCTTGGCAACATTTAGCGAGCCTCGTGACACCTTTCTTCCAAGAACGTGAACATGCTGCAGTGACGAGGTGCGTATCTTGAAGTTAGAGAACACCGGGCAGAATCGCACCATTGTCTCCGCCATGATCGACAGCGCCGACATTTGGGAGCCGCATCTCTCAGCGGTGTCAGATCGAGGAAGTCGCGGTGTTTAGAACATCCGACCCGTTACAGGTCCAGTCTGAACCAGTTTTTGACCTCCTTGAGTATATAAGTAAGTCGTGTTTTTGTATGACCAAGTCCTGTATTTCAATGTATTGCATAGTGCCTGACCGACCAATTCCGTTTTCGCCACTGAAAAGCCGACAGGTGAATTCGGGCTTTTCACTTCCTTGTCGCCCCCTCACTGGCGTACGCTTTCCCAAACACGGCTGTGTTGGGGCATGTTGCCTTGTTTTTAGAACCCCAAGATCCAGTTCTTGAAGAGGATCGGATGGTTGAAGCTTGCTCTAACGACGTGGCGATCCATACCCTCCTATCTATCAATGGTGATGTGTTTACTCTAAAAACAGGCGGTCGCCAGGAAGGTCCCGTGGAAGGTCCCAGCCTTGGTCGGCCTGAGGTTTGGATCCGTGCAATGTCCAACCCAGACAATCCATGTACAGTATGACATAGGGGATCATGGGGGTGGTTTGGTCTGGGTCAGTGCACCCAGACCATCCATGGGACTGTGTCCGTAATACGATATGGAAAAACCCATGTTTCACGTGGCCCATCCATGTAGGGCAAAAAGAGAACTCATGGATATGGTCAGTGGAAACCGTGATCCATCCAGATCCCCGTCCTTCCGGATTCCGCTCCAACGAGGCCCAGGGATCCGGTCCTCGGATCCGGGGAACTCGACGGAACCGGCGTTCGCGACCGGCCCGAAGACCGGAGAAGGTGGCCCCGTTCGCGCCACCCCTCAGGGGTCGAAGGAAAGGGCGGTCGAAAGGGTCGTCGGGCGAAGCGTGTGTGGCACGGTTAGACCAGTGCTTCGGTCTGAAACCTTGCTCATAGCACGAATCTAACAAGGGTTTCCACTGGTGCCACGCAAGGTTTCGGTTAGACCACGCTATTAGACCGTGTGGCACGAATCATAGCGATGCCCTTTGCTCCGTTCTTCTTCGCGTCCTGGTGACCCAGGTTCTTTCGCCCGTTCGAGTCGTCGCGTCCGTTCGGGCTCGGGTCTCGGTTCGCCATGCGGCTCCGTTCGGTTCGCTTTCTCAGGTGTCTTTATGTGTCTTTTCCATCTTTTGTGTATGTTGACTGGTGATTTACCCAGAAACTCCATTCACAGCCCGACCGGTATTTCAGACCCCCAGACCCCTCCTGAGGGTCCAGGGTCGCGTCTGGGTATATGATTTAGAGCCCCCGCACCATGTTGACTATCCTGAGGTCCTGGCATGAGGGGCTTGTGTAATTGTGGTCTAAGGATGTCTAATGGTTGCTTGTTCATCAATACCAGGATATCCGGGTTCTTCAAGCGCAGAGTCTGCCGAGTCCTCCGCCTTTCCTGAGGGCCTGGGCTTTGTGGTCCGTGTTGCGCCTCTTCGTGCGGCCGCCTGTGAGGGGGGAGGGGACGAGACCAAGACGAGCTGTGGATCTACAGATGTGGCGACTTACTGGTGCTAGGGCCGCTAGGAGCCCCTAGTAGCGTCCTTGCTCCTACTAGTACGGCCAGGAGCGGAGCCCCTAGTAGCTTCTGGTTCCTTAGGGAATAGGTGCTTCATTAATGACCCCTTAGTAAGGGGAATTACCTCAGGCGATGGGATCAAAGCTGCGGGAACCTTGCGTTGGTGCTCAAAGTGTTGGTGTTTTGAGGACTCATGGCAACCTTGGGGAGGACACTCTATGTTGTTTAGTGCTATTGGCTGCCAATCACTGGGTTGACAACCAAAGATTTTGCACATAGTACGGATATGTAAACAACATTAAACAACCAACTCCTGTATAAAACTATAAACGTCTTCTTTGCCACCGAGGTTCGTGTGGTCGACAAAGGCTCCGAACGCGCCGGGAAACCTGTGGGTGGCGCAAAAACCTTCGCGGCTCCTGCTGCAGAGGTCCGGACACGAACTAAACCCTTCCCATTTAAGAGCCCGGATTCTTAGCCAGGACCTTCTCAGTGACCTCTTCAGGATTGGTAAGTGAGCTGAAATCAAGGCCTAAGTGACATCTCAAAAGGTCACTGGGAAGGTCCTGGAGGGTAATGAACTGTACAAAGTACTCACATACTTGTTCTTTTTGGATGTTGCCCATACAAGGGTAGTGGTACGGCTCTAAGCAGATGTGAAACAAGCACAATTTTATTGATTCAGTGGAGGTCCCCAAAGGTGAACTTTGCTCAGCAATTGGGATGGTCAAGTGGGATGACAGACACCAAGGAACAAATCGAACGATGAAAGGTTGACATCCTGGCCGTTCTTCTGGGGCGTTTCAATGAATTCAATGTCACGGGCCGCTAGAGGATGATCACCTCAGCCACGTCCATGTCCCAGCAGCCCATGAGTTCTCAGCGACCAATGAACAAATGACCACAATCAGACCTGCGGCCCAGCTTCAGGATCCCAAGCTTCACGATCGTTCACCTTTATCCAAGAATGTTGTTTTTCATGGCCTCTACAGACATGCCAGACAGAAATGCCAGCAAGTTGGCAATTGCGCAACAGACAGAATCATTTCTAGGGTAGCTGTGACAACAGTGGAGAGATGGCACTGCAAAGCTAGACCTTTCCAACAGTTGAGTTCAGGGTTAATTGGACATCTCAGCATCTCATTTCAATTTTGCTTATGTCTAACTCAATGGATCCCGGTTGCAGTCAAGACCCTTGGAACACCATGAGTAAACTATTTATATGGTGTTAACCTGCCCCAACCAAACCCTAAAATAGCTAGCCTACGGGAGCATATTCACCACACCACTCTTGCTCACCTTCTTCCTGCCTCGACCGGCTCTTCCTGCCTCACCGGACTGCCGCGCCCAGACAGTCGAGCGGGAGAATGACCTCCGGCAGCAGCAGGCGATGGCTGCGATGGACTCGCAGACCCTGCGACTTCCGCCCAACGCGGCTGCCAACGAGGTGCTCAACTCGCAGACCCTGCGGCTCGGAGAAGAGTCGTTTCCAGTGGGGATTGGAATGGATGGGTTTTTAAGAACATTTGGAATCGTTTTCACCCCCAAAGCCATGCCCTGCGGGTCTGACCTAAAATTGGAGTTGGTCATACAGAGTCAAACACATTGCTCAAGGAGGTTTTCAAGACCAGGTTTTACTGTGTCAGACTGGACTTGTAGAGGTGGGTTTCCTTAGATGGTCCCTTGAGGCCATTCAGGTGTGGATGGGTGCCCAGCAAGACCTATAAAGGCGGCAAATTGGACACATGGAAAACCCCACGCGAAATCTTAGAGTTGAACCTCAAAAGACCCCTCCAAAATGTTTGGATTCACCTGCTTTCACCTGACTGGTCGGTTCGGTTGGGGAAGAAACACCCCGTTTGACAACGGGACCACAGGAGTCGGACCTCCTCGAACTCCTCCTTTTCATGGCGCTGGAATCACTCAGTCGGACGGTCCATGGCGGCGACCAAACTCCCGTCACTGCCACTTGTTCATGGGTGGAACACGTTTGTGGAGTGATGAGACTTAATCTATCTCAATCTCTTGGCGCTTTCCGAGACGTGGGCAGTCCTAGGACTTTGCCACAGCGCCCTTCTCCCAGAGAAGAGTTGCAAGCAGTGCCTTTGAAGCTGCTGGAAGAGCAGATGGAGGAGGAGGCCTCCGTCGAGCGCCATGGACAGTTCTCCTGCTGGCGTCAGTCGACTGAACGTACAGTTTGACGGCCTGCGGCAGTGAAACAGGATTGCCTGGTAGAATCAGTGGTTTGGTGGTTTCAAATTCTGTTTTTCGGGGGGCGTATCACACCTCAGAAATCCATAAATTTGCTTGATGTTTGAAGTTTGGTGGTGGATGTTTGTTGATGTATCCTCAAGACAGTAGCAGAGGTTTATATTGGATCTTCGCCTTTACCTGGGTCTCTTTGACCCTGCATGGCAAGGCCATATTCACGACCAATTCCGCAAGGTACCACTTGCGTACCCGGCGTACCCGGCGTACCCCGACATACGCCAGATATGTCCCTGCCACTGTAAAAGTAAATGTATGTAATTTGTTGTTTTTGTATTTGTGATGCAACGCCCTTTTTTTCAAGGGCTCTAGCACACTCAAAGAATCAACGTGGCACTTGAAACCGCACAGGACGTTCTTGAAAATTCAGAAAGCAGCACCCCTTTGGGTCATGGATCCCCTATGTACGTTCAGTCTTGGGAACTACTAGCGATGGCCTCCAAGGTTCCTACTAGTGTTTAGTGATGGCCTCCAACCCAATCGTGTTTTTGTGTGACTCTGTATGACCAGCTCCAGCAATTCATGAGGTCCGTTTGTGACCGCTAGGGATTCCTATTCTGGATCAATCCCAGACCATCCATGGGACTGGATCGGCACCATACATGAAAGCCCGCACACAGCTGGTTTGGGAACTACAATAATTAATTCTTAAAGAATCCATGCAGCTGGGTCGCTTGCTATTCCATGTATGACCAGAACTATTTCATGTAATGATACATAACCGTTCCATGTATACATAGTATTTAGATTAGTCCATGTATACATGGATGCTCTGGGAATGGCCTAATCCTCGCACCTGGTCCTTTCGCCTTGCCGGCCTTGCAGGTCCGACGGAGCGTCAGCTGGCCAGGCCCCACCCGCAGCTGGAGCGCTGTGAAGGAGCGCGCGCACTCGGAGGAGTCGCCCAGCCACCAGGAGCGCGGAGGAGTCGCGCTGTCGGGCGGTCAAAGCAGACACGACCCACGGCCGAGTGAATTGGAGACCTTTGGAGTGGTTGAAAAGGGGTCAATGAGCTTTTTTGTTTCATATGCTATAGATTGCTATAGATGGAGGGAGTATCTGGAAACTTCTATGCCGGAAGTCCGTGGATCACCCGCAGGTCACCTTTTTGATGGCTTAATTGCACCTCACTCAACACCAGCATGGACAGTTCGGTTCACCTTGATTCTTTCTCTCCGGCATCAGTCAGAACTTTTCTTCGGGTCAATACGACGGTCGATGGGCCAGATATATCATGATTTCGCCAGCCTTGGCATGTTCTCTTCCACTTCTCGCGTTTCACTCAGGAGGAGCAGTCTTCTACTCGAGGATTGGTCTTGGCCGAGGGCGATCCACATGACGACTTTAGCCTTCCACCAGATCTGGAACAGCTGGAAGGGGCGCCGAATGGCAGGCGCCCGCCCCCGGCTTGGCCGCCTGGGGCAGGAACTCTTTGGGTGAGTCGATTTGCCTGCCACCCTCGGGAAAGCGAGTCTTCGATGTTGGACCATCAAAACCAAAAGGAAAAGAATACGGATCCATCAGGCCCAATCAAGAATCGTGTACTTGGAAACCCCCGTCCCAACCAGAAACAACTGGTTCCACGGTTTGCCTCAAATCCTTTAGGCCTTTAGGCTTGCTTTCTTGGACCGGGCCGCCGGCGCGACTGGACACCCGGGTCGACGGATCGGCCCGTTTGGCAGATGCACCGACGAGAAGGATCTTCCACCCAAGAGCGAGGTGTCGAGGGACGACCTGGTTCCGGCAGAGCTTTGGACACTGCAAGGCCGGGTGCAAACCGGTGACTGAACCCGCGGGAGAGAGAGAGAGAGAGAGAGAGCGCGCGGCCTGCTGCGAGAGCCGCAGGATTGCAAGATACTTCAGCTATCCATCCATGGGACTGGAATAGTTGCCTACATCGAGGTCATGTTCATAAATGTATGTAACTATTCCAGACATGAATAGTCTGGGTATGTTGAGCTTGAGCTCCTACCCCAAAAAAGAGTTTCGGGTTCCAGCGGCAACATGTTCCAGCGTAGGAGGGCGAACAAGAAAAGGGGAACCTGCAGCACTGCAGAACTCTTGACAACCCTCAAAAGGACACCGGAAATATAATTAAGGTTGCGCTCAAGCAATCCGATCTTGGGCCACACTGCCATACTGCTGAGAAGACCACAATACGGTCATATCAGTAGCCTTTGTCATTCACATCTGCAACATGCCAAGATTGCTTAGGACTCAAACATTCAGGACGAGATCGGACATTTAGGACCTGTAGCAGAGTTTGCTAGAGCTTGGGGCATGTTCCAGACCTCTTCAATTCTTTTTGGCATTGGCTGTGCGCCCAATTGCATACAATTTGCTTTGTGGTCCAAAGAAACTCCCTCCACCTGGGTCCACCCGGGTCCACCAGCAGGTGAGGCGAACGTCCAGCTGGAGGTGTCTGACAGCAGCACCGAGGCCAGCATGGCGCACGCCCCGGCATGGGCATTTCTCAGGGTAGTCACCAGTCATCTACGTATGAAGTGCTATACCTGCTAAGTAGTGGTATCACTTGGACTATTATAGTTATAAGAATTATATGACAAGTATTTGCTAGCGTTGAATTTGTTTTTCTCTGAGCCACCTCAAATCGCACGTGTTGCAAGCACAGTTGACACAATCTGACTCCGGACTCGAGGAATGATGACGACCATCCAAGAGGATGACGGACTGTGAACTTATCGCAATTCACCTAGCAATGGACTGCTGGGCCTCCGCATAAAGAACAATGCAATGCACAGATGGGCAGACAATCCGCCGCAAGCCAATTCACTATGTCCTTGTGACAGTTCCAATGTCTTTGATCCTATTTTTAGGGGGCCGATTCAGTATATGTATGCTACTGGCAACATGTCACAACTTTAGTTTGGCTTTTTGACATATATACACAACTTCAGCGACAAACTGATACCCAAGTCCATGTCCTGTCCGATGTTCCCACTCCTCACAGTTGCGCAGGCGGGAGCAACTGCCCCGCGCGAGGGTCCCCGGTCCCGCGAGGGTCCCCGCGGAACCGCTGAAGAGGCGAGGCGACGAGCAACGGCCGCGCTTCGACCGGTGAAGGCAACGTTTGTTTGGTTTGAATGGACCGGTGAACGCGAGGTTCAGAAGACTTCACAAGCTTCAACCAGGTGTGAAGACAGATGAAACTATGGTTTTGGTCGGAGAAGGCATCAGGCTGTGAGTGGAACTTGACCTCAGTGGTAGGGGCTCGGGTGACCTTCAAAGGCCACTTAGTCACTTCGAACTGTACCCACATGTTCACACCTTCCAAATCAAACCAAATCAATGATCTCATTTTAGTCGGTCAGGTTTTCAAGACCTGGTTTTACTGGGTCAGACTGGACGTTCGTAGGGGCACCTTCCAAGAGCTACCCCACCTTCGTCACAGGACGGCAGCACCGTCCTCTCAAGCGACTTCAATGGTGCCTTGGCAATGTTGGGCCAACGAGAACGTTGGATATCCGATGGAAGAAACCAAGAGGTTCTAGTGGCTGGTGTGTGGTGCAAGGATGTCCTGAAACCGACATCACCCGGAATAGGCAGGCTGAAACCGATGGGTTCACGGAGTTTGGGCAAGCTCGGGAGCCTCTCCTCGCTGAAACGGTCTACGGTCGTCTTTGGAGACCTGGGCGGAGTCAGTCACAGTCCGCCGTCCGAGTTCTTCTGAGAGAACCGATGGGTTCACGTGTTGCATGTGTTTAATCGGTGAAGCTGAGCGACCCAGGCACCCATGCATGGAAATCGAAATGAATATGGAAGAATGGTGAAACTACACATCAACCAAATCAAAGCCAGACCTTGCTTGCTTGGCGCATGCTGGCCCCCTGAGACGACGAACCGATTGATTTCTCTACTTGAAATGACAAAAGACATGCCGCGATGTGTTCTTTTCCCGGTCCTGGCATGGAAAATATGTGTTTAAAGGTTGTGTTTTTGGGACGCAAATCCAGTGTCCTGGCCTCATGAACCGCTGGAGGTTGCGATGGTGTTTTTTCCTGCTCAGCAGCTGAGTGCATAAGCTGCAAAACCTTTTAACCATGTTTAACCTGCATAACAGCAAAAGTGCAGAACTGCAAAAGTGCATTGCCTGAACAGGTGAAAAAAGGTTATCTTCTATTTTCCAGGGAAACGGCTCGGGAGTCAGACGACACTACACCGGCTCGGCAAGACTTGAAAAGGTGGAATCTCGAGGTTCACCCCGAACTCGGGCACCAAAACCATATCCGCACAGGTTCAGCGGTTGGGGGCTCGATTTGTGTGTTTTTTGTTTCCGGTGCCACAGGAGCCCTACGTGTATCCTATAGGACCCCGCAACAGACACTCCACGTGTCCTAGACCTGCTCGTGTTTGGGTCAGGTCTGGGGCCGTTTCCAACAACTCGACCTGTTTGTTGGGTCGTCAGGTGGACTCGATCACGAGCAGCCTGGCACGGGCCATCGCTATTTGGAGGCGGGGGAAGGTTCAGGGGCGCCCGGATGGAATGGTCAAGAAGCTGCAGAAGCTTTTGGGCCGCTGAGTTTCCCCACTCAAAAATTCACAGGTGATCAGGTGGAAGCTTTGGCCAACCTGTATTTTCTTAAGGGAAACTGAGGCAGTCAGTAACCTGTTGATGAATATGATGAATAAGCCCGCCCAGGCATGGAGGTGTCAAACCTTTCGGTAGACGTGAGGTGTTATTCATCAACAGCCTACTTTGAATGCTTGGACTGTAGGTCTTGAACATCAAAGCCTTTGATCCCTAGCTGGGATATAATTTTGCAATGTTTCTGGGATGTTTAGTAAAGGGATTTGACCAGTATGGTGAGCAGGTTCCTATGGGAAAGGGTGGCTTCAGATGGGATCAAGGATCATACGTAGCATATGATAAGTCAAGGAAGGCTCAGGAACCACTTTTAAGTTTTTTGTTTTGTGGAAATGAATGGTTCACTTGGAAGGGGATCATGATCAGGGTCCATCATCCTCAAGGATGGAGTTGCTTGTCACGAAAGCTAGCATGCTAGCTGAGTTCTTCTTTGCTTTAGCAATTGGTAGTGGAATGAGCTGCGTGCCTTAAACCTTGATATATCACACTAAGGGGGGGGGGGCCTGGCCCCCCCACTCTAGCGTGATATATCAC